ACAGAAGCACGAGGCTCATTATCCATAACTGGTTCTCTCTGTTCATGGGGTGTTGCTTCTTGAGGATTCTCCTGTTGTGATTCTGAACATTGGTTATCATCCATTTCTCTTTCGGTCACAGCACTAGGAAGAAAATCTGCATCTGTGAAGATATCTGGATTGTATGGGTAGATTCCGGACACCTTGAAACATTCAGCAGCACAACCAACTGTAGCTGCTTTATTAAACGCTGGAGTGAATAAAGACGTCATCTGAAAAGCAGTTATAGCTCTGCCAGGGTGGTTTCTCATCCATTTTTCACATTCGCTCGCAAAATAAGTCTTCAACGCACTATGAAAACCTTTGTATAGTGGTTGCATCTTGTGGCTGCTGTGTGGAGGTATGGTTAGAGCTATTATGTTATTCGCTCGATAAAAGTCTACAGCCCCTATTGTACAATGCGACACATGATTGTCAAGAACCAGAAGGATAGGGTGTTCTTTAGTTGGTCTTGTGTGATCTTTAAAGTGACCTAGCCAGTTTAAAAAAAGTTCACTATTAATATAACTTGAGAACATTCCAATAGACGCTGGTGGTGCGCCATCCAGCAATTCTGCTTTCATCCTTTTGCGACCGAATATGAAAGCGGGAGGAATGAAGTGTCCAGATGCACTCATAGCATTCACTACGGTTACGTTCGTTCCTCTTTCAGCGCTAGAAATCTTATTAACAGCGCGCTTTCTTTTTTTTGATATGACCCTTGGAGGATTGTTGGGTATGGTAGACAGACCAGTTTCATCCATATTGTAAATGGAAGTTGGAGGAAACTTATACTTGTCCATCAATTCTGCTAGATTTTTGTAGAACCTTTCACATTGTGGCTTATTAAATCCCATCGCCCTAGCAATACTTGTGGAAGTTGGACGTCTTAGTGAAAGATCTGGGTGCCGACTGAGAAATCCACGAAGCCAGTGTTTGCCTGCCATTTTCTTTTCGGCATTGAAACGATGAGGAATATTATTTTTCACCACAAACTCGTAAGCAGCAATCCTCAAATTCTTAGGAGTCATCCCTTGAAACATATTGTCAAGATCTTCCAAATAATTACAAAATTCCTGTTCAATTTCGGGAGAAAGAGTTGCATCATATCTACCAAGCTTTGTTGCAGCTTCTTTTCTCTTCAGGCGATACCGCAAAGTACTTTCTTTCATCCCGTACGACGATGCTACTTTTCTTTTGCTTTCACCATTTTCTATTCGTCTTCTAGCTTCCTCTAAAACATATTGAGGGCACAGCGAACGTTCCGACGACCTTTTTTCTTTGATTAGGCATTCTGAAAATGAATATTTAAGGTTGTTATATCAAATTAAAAGTTATGGTAGGGTAAGTCTGCGCGCGTAGTGTTACGGACCGTGACTCTGCGCAGTCTTAGGGAATAGCCCAATATACAATTATGTGACTCCTAACGCCATCTATTGAAAATATCAAAAATTATATCGCTCGCCGGCTGTATAGGTTAAATCACGCAAACGAAAACACTGGTCAAATCTTTGATAGTACTTCAGGCTTTCATGTAATTACAGTTTGAAATTGAGAAACAATAACATCAGAATCGATATTTAACTTCAAACTCACCTTGCGACTAGGTTTTGATAGGTTTTTGGTTTGTTTTTTCTACAGCGCACTCACTCACAGCAACGGCCCAGAACACGAGAGAAGTTAGTCGACAATGTCATTTTGCTTTCGAAATATGGGAGCTGCGCAATCTTACCTCCTGCGCAAAGTTAGGGCACCCTACCCTAGGTAATACGTTAAACACCGAAATGGTACCCTTAAATGGTTCAAAAGAAAATTAATGCAGGAAGGTAAGGAATGCGGTACGATGTACCGCGTAGAAAGTTGTGGCGTGATAGATATCTGAGAGAGCCGATCCATATATCTTTTTTTTTCTTCTATGGTAAAGGTACCGCTTGGGGCAGTCACAATGGATATATTATACCGGGTGTTTCAAATTTTATACTCATCGTTGGGAACTCGGAAACGGTAAGAGATATGAAGTCGCTCAAATGAGGGCAAAGTTGCGTATTTAGTACCTCCGGAGAGAGATGAAAAAAAAACGGATTTTCCCGAAACCGTTCTAATATTTTCCTGACTTTATTAGCTTTGTCCCAACCTTTAGTGCTAGTATCGTACCAGAACCGTTCGATTATCGTGACGTACCCTGTTACACGCATGCGCGGCCTGTCGTGATTCTAGGATCGTTTCTGGACTGTAAAAGGTGTTGGAACGGATTCGGAATGTGATAAAGATGCGTATTCAATAAGTTCAAAATCGCTGATGTAGATTTGTTTATGTACTAAAAAATATGATCATACCTGTATATCAGCAACGATGAAATAAAATCCTGTCGTTTTCACTATCAGAAAACAATTCAAAATCGATGTCCCCTTCGTCGTGAATAGAGTTTTTAAGTCTGATTCTAAGAATGTTGTCTATTATTCTAGAAAAACGGAATTTCCTAGGTAGGCCTTGAAATCATCATAATCATTTGTTTCGTTTACCAGACCAATTACGATTATGATTCTTATTGTAATTAGCGTCAATAAAAATTATGTGTTCAGGTTTCACCATACCTTTTTATTCCCTTATAATTTTGTTCCAACAACAAACTCATATCCACCAGAGCTAATACATCACTGAATTTAATTCTTAAAAGTCCATTTAAATTTACAAAATTCCAATATAGTATCCATATGAAGAAACATGAATTGAAGATTTGACTACGCCATCTTATAGAGGAGGATAAGTGGCAATAAGAACATACAATTTATTTTGAAATCTCATCTCAAATAAATTCAGGAAAAACGATGATTTTGGGATAAATCTGGTATGCGAAACAAATGATTGTCTGATCTGAATTCAAGGCCTACCTAGGAAATTCTGTTTTTTTTGTAAATGGTCAAGCGTTGGCAGTATCAATGTATTGACGGATTATACATTTTTGGAATCAGAACTAGGCTCTATTCACTTGTGCAAAAATGCAATATAGCGTCCTTTAGGAAAAATAAAGTTGATGCTAGAGAGCAAGAGTCGAAACATCGTATTGAAATGTATTGAAATTCTAATCATGCCATCTAGTAAAGGCGGAAAGGCCGCGAAGTTAATGTGCAATTTGTTTTGAAATCCTAGCATAAAATTTGGAGAAAGATTGGTTGTTCCGTCTCTCTTCGGAACCTTTTAAGCGGCATTTTGTTGACTAAGAGAGAGAACTAGCAAAATGAGCAAAATACGAACCCAAAAACTTGACGCATGACTAAGAGTGCAAGGGTACCAGATCCGTGCATTTAATCTACAGATATCTGTTTTATACTTCCTATGCCAAAACTGCCGAGAAAGTACTACAATCGCGAAGAATTCTGATTATACCATCTTGTAGAGAAAAAAAGTGGCAATGTTAATATGCAATTTATTTTTAAATCCCAGTAAAAATAAAGTCAGGAAATATCAATAAATCCCACAAATTTGTTTCTAATGAGCTCAATCGGATTGGAATTCGTAGTTGGGTTAACTCATGGTTGACCTCCTTTTTGGAAAAGAGATATTCTTTTGTAAAAGTGGATGATAAAAAGTCTACTGAATTTGACATCGATTGCGGAACACCTCAGGGCAGTGTCTTAGGACCTTTGATCTTTTTATTGTTTGTTATTGACCTTCCTTCTTATATCATCATTATTATACGCAGGTGACACCTGTATAAATCTGCTGACCCAGCTTTGATGTTTGGTGCTATAAAAACCGCCTAATCGTGAACTGTAATAAGACTGTTCACAGCAGGCATAAACCTCTGACTATAATTAATTACAACTTTAACAGATTTCTCATGAAACCATCCATGTCATTTAAATTCTTAGACGTCATTTTAGACTAACGTCTGTCATGGGAGGAAATTGCCAATTCAGTATGCGCAAAGCCTGGTAAATGTTATTTTATAATAAATTCTCTCAAAAATACCTTAGATTCAGAAAGCTTGATGAAGATTTAGATTGAGTTAGAAACTCTGCTATTTCATATAGTATTGTTTTGTGGGAGCAGGGTAAAGACGTCCAGCGTGTTTTTATCCTCCAAAAAAAGATCACTATCAGTCATCAGGGAAATATTCAAGCATTATCCAATTCTTACTGTGGCAGCTATTAGTGTATTTTTGCAAAATAAAAAGAAATGTGAATGGTAATATGCAAAATTACAATACACGTAACAAAGACAATTTCATTAACAACAAATTTAAAATATAAAGGAAAGTAAAAAGCATTTTATTGGAAGGCTGCTTTTACAGTGTTGACGAGTTTCTCGCATATTATAAAGACTGATATAAACTTGTTTGTATCTTTTTATCCTAGTATCGTCCCTTAAGTGTTTTATTTTTTGATGTTTGTACATTGTATCAGTTTTTATTTCTTCTTCTTAGACGCTTTCTATGTTATCGCTTGATGATTCGTTGAATAGAGGAATATTCTTATTGTTATTATTATTATATATAAAACGTCTTATTGTAATATTAGTAACGGCAATGCTTAAAATACCAAAATTAGGGTACCAAGTTTCTATGCGGGCATAAAAAATGAAACCTTAAGATCTCAAAATAACAGCATGCGTAAATGAGAAAACGGTCACATACGACTAAAAATACTCAGGAAGACGTTTCCGTCATCCAATAAATTTAAGAAAAGATTAAAATTTTATGGCGCTATAACCGGATAAATGAGCCGTAATGATCCCTTTTCGATTCCTTCAGATGTTGCTGTTAATGGAAAATCTCTACTCTTTATGATTGCCATAAATATATGAATATGATCGAATCGCTAAGAAGTCGTTTATGATCAATTTTAGATGTTTTCCGATAATATGCACACAAAGCACGATTAATATACTAAAATCAGAGATGAAATTAGGAAAATCATCAAACGGCCGCTGCGTCATAAGCCATGAATTTCTTAGATTTTCGTGAACAAAGAAACACTTACGTGCTTCAAATCGATGGTGATGGTGACATATTCGAATTCGGGACCATAGTACAGGGACGGGCTCTGCCACCACCTGTTGCTCCCGTCGATCGCATACTCGATTGAGTGTCTCTTCCCTGGGTCTGGACTGAAATTGTCGCATATTCCACATCTTCCTGTAATGAAGGAATAAAAAACAAACATTTAAAAAATTTTGGGCACATTAAAAGATACGAAAAAGTTAAAATTTGGAATATTTCAAAATAGGTTAAGATTTTGAATATTTTGGTAGTACCGTACATTTTGAAAATGCTGGAAATAGAAAGTATATGCTTATGTTTGGTACCAGGACAAAGTAACTAACATTTTCACCAAAAACATATGACCCGTATTCATATAAGAGATGCATAGCATCGGAAGCATAAGGTAAAAGTATAAGGTCTTGCTTCGGAGAAAAAGGTAGAAGTATAAGCATATCCTTGTTTTCATATTCATAATGATTACCTTACACTCGCGTGGGAGTTCGTTCACTTAGCATCACTGACAGTTGTACTGCAGAGCTTACACATACCGTTCCGTATTTTTACTGGATACAGTTTTTGATCAAATTAATAAGCATGTCATCCTCAAGTGACGAGGAAACTTTAGAAAATAATAGCAACGACCTGCAGTTCATCGCAGATGAAATTGCCATTGCTCCCATTATTTTGCAAAAGTCACGAGTTCCAAAAATAAAATGAGAAAGGACGATGCCTTGAAGAAGATGTTGAAAAAATACGAATCAACATTCGGTAAACCATTAGATACTAAAGGCTTATTAAAAAAAATCATCAACATGAAATCAATATTGAAGAAAAAAACAGATCTAAAAAAACTGGTAATAAAGCAATTAAATTGTTAGTTTGGGAAAGTTGCTGAAAGCTATGGAAGGTGACTGTTATCGGACAATTGGGAAAATTAGAGGTGCCAATTCAGGTTGGTAGTGTTCAAGTCGAAGGAAGTGAACTATATACCCAGCGAAAGCAATTCAAAAAACATTGTCACCAAAAAGAAAACTAGCAACAGAGAAATACGAACTGAGGAAACGAAGGGGTTAACTACAAAAGAACTGCAACGTCTAGTGCTATTACAGCCGTACCAAATAAGTATTTTACAACAAGAGTATTATAAAATGAAATGATGCAGCATCAGAATCCACCTGTAACTTATGATGTCCACGAAAATAAAACTTATTATAACTTATAAATACACTTTAATCAGTAAAACTATTTATTATAATACTCAAGTTTCTTCTTATTTGTTGATCTAGTTGGCGAAGAGGAAGTTCGTCATTCTCATGATTTCCTTCAACTTCATCTGGATACGCAATAATTATTTTCGGTACGTTTTCCATCTTTACGCGGCAAACATACTGCAGGATAGGAAACCGGCGTTTCAGTTGGCCGAAACAGCGTTCAATTATAACTCTTTCTTGTTTTAAAAGCTTATAATTTATTTCTGCACCTGGAGTAGGATTTCTGAAGGGAGTCATAAGGCATGGCTCAATACCATAACCGTCATCGCCAAGTACTACAACTTTTGCTTTATTTATTAGTTGTGATCTAGTCTGTGAATTTCTTGATATTCTGAAATCACGCACTGATCCAGGCCAACTGACATCAACACTTGTGAACATCTCTCTGACATCACAAGTGGCTTGCAGATATAAGGTAGGTTTCCCTTTTCGGTTGATATACTCATCTCAATGGCGATTTGGTTTCAGGATTCCTATATGTGTACAGTCAATTACCCCAATTGCTGTCGGAAATTTACACATGCTTTGCCATATCCGCTTGGCCTTCATCAGTTCATGGTTGGTACTTGGAAACTTGATCCATTCGTTCGACTGTGCAACTAAGCTGTTCACAACTCTGTCCACAGTACGAGATACCGTTGCTTGACTAACACCAATTTCCTGACCAATACCTTGTTGATATCCAGGGTCACCGAGATAGAGTAGACATATCTTCATTTTATCAATACATTAAAGTGCTCCTCCTCAAGTTTCCTCATTCTCAACTAACAATTTGTCCGCAAGCCATTGTACATTTGCTTCATCGAACCGATGTAATTTTTTGAAGTAACGACCAAGTGAAGGTAAACGAGGTTTGTACGTTTTAACATCCCTAACATCCACAATTTCCGCCATAATCGTTTGACCACCTTTCGTTACGAAGTTGAGTCTGCTACTGACCACACTCAAAATTTTTGAAGGATATGCTTTTTATGGCAAGTATAAGGTGAACATTATGAATATCCTTTTACTTATGTCACTGCTCTGAAGGATATGCTTATACTCAAAAAGCAAAAGCATGTACTTCAAATTATTATAAATACCATCTGGATGATTTCGTTCAAAATTTGCAAGTACAAGGATATCCTTTGTTTTATGAATACGGCTCAATGTTCCAGTTAAAAAAAACATATCAACTAACAAAACATGATATCACAGCACGAGTATATTTGCGATCAAAACTCTTTTCTTGCAAAAACAACGACAAGTAAAAAAAAACTACCTCAAGATCTTGGAAAATGACAAAAGTTTTTGTTTACAGCACAAAATTAATAAAAATCGATCTCTTATTAAATACATCACTACTAATAGAAACAAAACATGTAATAACAATAAAAATGGCGTCGTAGCCTGCAACTATCCTACTAGGGATACTTTCGTCTAGCTCAATTTCGATTTTTAGTATCCTCTGTGATACAAACTCGTACTCCTTTAAGTGCTGAATTAGGTCCTCCCTTATTATAAATCCCACTCCCTCTGCTGCTCTATCGACCATTTTCACTCCACTGTACAATAGAAAATGCCCTCATACTAGTTCTTCCAGACCAGTGCCTTTCTTTTTAGTTTCAAATATTGCCAATATGCCAAGTTCATTTTTGTAAAATTCCTGGGAAAGCTCATGTTCTTTATTTGTCAAGCTGCGTATACTCCATGTCGCCATATTCAATGTCCTACTCGTCACCCGTCCGTCCTCATTGTGATTGATCACTAGTTTTTTGTTATTGTCCTGGTCTGCAAAGGGTACCCTCTCTCCTCCAATTTGTTTTCATTTTTATTCCAAGCATGCTTCAAATTATTTATAATTAAGTATTGGTATCCAACTCTGACGGAACTTCCTTTATCTTGCTCAATCTTCGCTCGATCCCTCATTATCTTCTGTATGCTCCTTTCTTTCCTGGTCAAGTCCCTATTAATAAAAATTTTATTTTGTTTCAGAAAGACTGCCTTACCTTTGGCTTTCATGATTTTTAACTTGGTGTTAAAATCTTCGACCTCAACAACATGTAAATCATTGTTAATTTTTGTGATTTTGTTTATATTTGTTTTTACTTTAACATGTTGTTCTAGGACGTTTTCGATTTCCTTGGAGATATATTCTCTTCGTGTAGATTCGGTTTTTAGTCCACCTATGACCACGTTATTTTTCCTTCTTGTCTTTTCCTCCCTTTACATTCTCTCTTCTATGAGCTCCAGCTCTATTACTACGACCTCTTTTTTCAGCTCTTTGTTTTACTGCCCTCAATTCTTCCTTGGATTCCTGGTTTTCTCTCCGGATCTGCATTATAGTTTTCATGAACTCTTTTACTTCATCCATTTCACTCTTTCCCCCTTTTATTTCATCCTTGGTGGGATACCTTTTAGTTTTCTTACTCCTTTTGGATGGTGCAGTCGCAAGGTCGATTAACCTCTTCCTTTTGTCTGCGTCAGTCGCGATTCCTTCTGACTCTATGTCGGATTCCCTACGTGACATCAGTTGCTGTTTTCACTTTTCCACCAGTTGTTCCTTTTGATACTCCTAAACTGTATCCATCGAAGAAACAAAGTAAAATCAAACATATACACCCGTATTGCACGTGATCAAGAACTTAACCGTAGGAGACGCTACAGGGCCGTATCAAGCTATTGTGACTGATCTATCAAAAAATGCCGTACAAGATATGTGTTGCTGTAAATTCTATCAAAAGCATAGTAATATCAGGAATATACGACGCCTTTCTAATCATATTTCGACATTAGGAATCAGTGCAAAAAATTCTGTATTCACCATTTCAGCAAAATGCTACTAAAACGCACACGAAAAAAACTTGTGGACCATCTTAATTGAAATTGTTCATATTTTATTATTAACTTACATATATACCCAATAATATTTAAAAATCAACCTTCTATTCACAATGCAGAGCAAATTTTTTTGAGCAAATAGAAACTACAGAAGTAGTAGTAGTAGTACAAAAGTTTATTACAGACTCCATAAAGTTTGTTAGTTTGATTGCTATTAAAATTTACATGAGAAATAGGAAGAAGGTGGCACTATTATGCTTTGGAACTCCTAAATTAACCCTAATTTTGTGTAATTATAAATTTGGAATATCCACATTAATAACTAGAAATTTACACTTTGATTGCAGTCTATAATGAACTTACCTGTCTTGCCAAAAAGCCCGTTAAACTGCCAGTCTTAGTGGTATCAATCGATTTATATGCTGTATTCCGAGGAGCTTGAATCATCAGAATTGTTGATGTCAATTATAAGGGGTTCAACTTGGGTGTCAATGATATTGTCCATATCCCACATTTTGGTTTCAACCTTCTCTTGGACATGGTCAATACATGTTCTCCATTTTGCTGGCGTAATTCTATCGACAGCAACATCAAACAGTTTTTTAAGGTCAGAAAACTTAAAAGTGCTGTTATTTTACGCCACGTATTGCTTGATGTCGGCCCAAATCAACTCGATAGGATTCAGTTCGCAGTGATAGGGAGGCAGCCTGAGAATCGTTTTATTTTGGTTTTTGGCCATTTCGTCAACAATTTTTAAATCATATTTATACTTATGTAGCTTGACTATATTTATCAGCTCAGCTTTGACCATTGTTTGGTCGAAGTCGATCTTCTTTGAGACAAGCCACTGTTGAATGTCTGCCTTTTTGGTGGCCATTGTTGGAATTTTTTCCAATTTTCTGGAGTGGTACGGGGCATTATCCATCACAATAATTGCGTTATCATCAAGTGTCGGCAAAATTTTTTTGAACCAATTTTCAAATGAGTTACCATCCATTTCTTCGTGATAGTCTCCAGTTTTTTTGGATTCAAATGCCCACAATGCTTCAGGAACAAATCCATCTACGCTACCTATGTGGCAAATGATCAGGCGTTTTCCCTTGCCTGAAAGTAATTAGTTATTTTACTTCTCAGCGAGCGCACTAAATGACGAAATTAATCAACTTACTCTTTTTAGGTTAGTGTAGGATAGGGTCTTAGATTAGTTTTTGGGTGAAGGAAATACTCAGAAACTTGGATGAAATAGCAAAACTGAGTTCGGAGCTTCCAAATCATTGATTCGATCAGAAAATGAATTATCTGCATCCAAAAAAGTTCATATACTTCGGAACTTACCTGCAGGATTTTTCAATCCCGTCGAAAGGCCATCTAAAAAAGCCTGCCTTGAGGACCTCACAGATCTGTCTACCCAAACCTTTCCCTGCGTATGCCCCGCGTTCACCCATGTTTAGTCTAAATAATAAATTTTTCTTCCTTCAGCGCGGAATTGCCTAATTTTTCTAAGGTATTCTCTCCTCCAGATAACAATTTCCCCCTTTTCTATCAATAAACTATTCCTTCCTCTTTTCAAAAATCGAAAGTCTAGTTCTTTCAACAGCTTATGGAACGTAGATCTTTTAAAATTTGGCAGGTCCTCATCATCATTCACTTCCTTCAATATTTTATCTATTGTAGGTATTTCATTCCTGAAGAAAAAGTGATGTACTTTTCTTCTAATGGCACTTTTGTCAAAGTCATCTATTTTTTCGATGATTTTTTTTCTCGCTGGATATGTTTTTGGCTCAGATAGTGAGTGATTTTGTCTATATTCCTTCAAGATTTTGTAAACACTTGATCGACCTACTCCAGAAATTTCAGCAACCTTACATACGATATTTTCTATAGCCAATCCACTATTCTCTTGCATCTGGTTCTTGTAGATATTTAGAATAATTTGTTTTTCACCTGCGCTAAGATGAAGCTTTTTAGCCCTTTTTCTGGGTGACGTTAAGCTGATTTCAACCACTTCATCAGCTGTATCTGTGTCAGACATTTTAGACTAATATTAAATTTCCGCAAGAAAAATCAAGTCAAGACGTGCATAAAAAGTTCGCGCTCATAAACGGGTATCCGTAACTGATTTCAATCCTGTGCGTGGTGACGAACCATCAACGTGACGCTGAGAGTTCCCTCTACTATGCAGCGTTGCCAGGCTTAATGTCACAATGATCATGTTTTATTGGGAAAATCGCCGAATGTTGAACAGAAACATTACAAGAAGTCTAACCTTGAAATGTGAGGCTACAAATCGATACTCTTATAGGGGGGAAGGGTAGGGAGCTGTTATGGTTCCTATTAACCTTGGTGAAAGTTGGAAACGGTAATATCATATATGGCATACATTCGGTTGAAGGTGTGTGCACGGAAAATAGATTGCGGATAGGATTTTAATAGATAAATCTGCACAAAAAAACACAAAAGGAGATTTTTGTATTTCCCTGAAGAATATCTCAAGGTTATTTCAGATGTACTCATCGAAACTTTATGGAAGGATTATCGAAACCTTATTTTCAATTGCGATAGGGCCACATACCTCGACATCGCATTAATGTGAAAAATAAGACAATAGAAAAAAATTCCCTCACTGATGCTATCTCTTAGCAAAAATTTAACTATAAAGATTGCACAAAAATTTTCTTCACCTTTTTGAGCTTGTTTTCGCATCTCCGTATATGCTGTTCATAATTTGCTGCAGATCAAATTGGAATATACCTTTGTGATGCCATTTATTGTTATATAATGTCCTTTACAACAGTTATTGCACGTATTGCACCAACAGATTGATTTGTGATCCATGCGAATGGCGAAAACTCGCCGAGCGTGGCAACCGTGCGACTTTGTCTGGAGGCTCGTCGCTACAAGCCAATCAGGAAGAGGCCGACAGAGCGCCATGGCTACCGATCACGCGTTGATCACGAATCAACCATTGTTTACGATTACTTTGTAGCTTCGTTAGATACACTTTAAGTAACTTGCAACTATCCCTTTGCAGAGTGGTACTTGGTAGTACTGCTTGACTAGTCAACTAGTACGTATAATACCGGTTCAACTACTTTTGTGTATTATTTGTTGCCTACCTCTTAGCGTCAGATTTACCCTGCCGGGTCGACCTCTCGGAGAAGGCTAACCTACCAATTTTATAGTCTAAGAACTCAGCGGCAATTCCACTTTCCACTCTGTTATCCTTTATTTCACGTCAATAGTAATATTCGCTCGGTACTGTCCACGCAATTTGGATTTAATATCGGAGCACTTCGTACTTCTGTTTACACACACAGTGGCGCACCCTTCTTCTTTAAAAAAAATTATACCAATGCATTTAATTTTTTGAGAAAATCAACTAAACTAACAAAACTTCAAATATTCTATATTACTGTACTGGAGAAAAATAGCTCTTTTCAACTAGCCCAAGTTTGTTGAAATCGGCTCAGCCTAAGATACGGAAACATTTAAATATCCTCCACCACTTTATTTTTAGAGATACAGCAAAAATTGCCAAACAAAAAAGTTCACAGTATCCTCGACTTTCGAAATCAGATATTTTTTTGTTAGGTTAATGTAGCGGAAGTCACAGAAACGTCACTTTTTTCGATTCAAGATTGCAGTTACGCCCCCTAGCGGCCATTTCAGCAACTGGAAAATATTCTTTAGGTTTTTCTTTTGGCCGTTTTAGTCAGAATATTTTTCGCCGCAAGCCTCTCCGATGGATAGGTTCCCAGATACAGTACCTTGCATTCTTAATTGGCCACAGTGTACATGTCATATAACGTCCAAAAAAAATATCTAATTGTTGCTATTACAATGCTTTCTCACCAGTTGGCGTGGGAAGTAAAAATCAAATGAAAAATGTTGAAGAAATAAGAATCTGACGTTTTACTTTCTCTCTTTACGAACAGAATTTCAAAGATAACAAAGATAAATTTAATTTAAATGCCTATTTACTTTTTCAAGCTCGTTCTACTATGACATAAGGTAATGTTGAACCGTAATTCATCACAGACGTCTTCATGAGTCACTCCAAAAATATTGGAATGAAAATACCACGGAGCAATCAACGTCATAATATCCTCGACAGCTTATGATGCTCAGTCTTGATTCTATTATAAGAAAAGGAATGTCCAACTTATGGCTCTATATTTGTAAATTAGGAGACAATGTCTAATTAAAGTTTTAGGAGGGATTTATAAGTCTAATAATTCTTTAGTGGAATGCTTTAACTATTCGTCGTTTATGTTGCGTTTTATATTTATAATTGTGTAAATATAAAAATTCGTCCAAGAGTTTTCATATTATTTAAATATTTTCCAAACTACTTTATGTCATATAGTCGAAAATCTCTTTCATAAGAAGAGCAATTTCCAACTTGAATGCTTCATGTTTGAACCCCGAAGAAGATTCTTAGTTTTTGGTTTATCTTGTGTTTTGACTGATTTTACGATTGTTATAAAAATAGTAAAGTCGCTAACGGATAAAGTGACAATGGTTTAAATCTCTGTTGCACTAGATTTTTCTAGTTTGCCAAGTTGAAATTCAAGTGAAATGGTGAAATACTATATTTTGTGTAAAAGTGGAAGCTGGAGACTTTAACAGTGCCCATTTTGTTATATCCATCATTTCGGAGTAGCTTCAAAAGCCGAGAGGTGGGAAGGTACTGAGGCAAATTCCTTGGTTTACACAACAAATAATATCTAAAACAGTATGTATTTTTGGGAGCCCCATCTCAATCTCTCCTACAGGATATCAAGAAGGCAATTCTAAAAAGAAATAATCCTATGAGTTACGAAAAACTGCCGAAGCACACGCATTGGACCCTGCGTCTAGCAGATCGTATTGTCTGAACAATGAGCGAAAGGTACTTTTTTGTGCGGATAATTATTTTTACTTATCGAGCTAGAAATGTAGAATGTTAGAAAGTGGTCATACTAACCTATCAACGCGTCTTTTAAAAATTTTGACTCACCTTTGCCGTTTTCTGATGACCTACAGAACTCCTCTCTTCCTCGCTCTCCACAGGTGGCATTCGCTTTGATGTCTGCTTTTGCCGCCAAATTAAAGACTGCTGGCCACAAACCTCCGAGAGAGGCATCGCGATGGCCATGTTGTGACTGATGGTGATGGCCAAAACCACGGTGAGATTTCAGAAATTTGCCTGAAAAAAAGTGAAAATATTCACCATGGGATGTTTTCCAAAAATTTAGGAGATAAAGACGAATGTAGTCTTGCAAAGATACGCTGCCGTTACAAATTTTCTCCGTCTCGTATATGCCACTTGATAAACCTTTGAATTTAGATTTGATTTAATGCTTTTTGGTTTATTAAAATGTTCATTGACAACATTTAGGTGATATAAAATAGATAAATGTATATAAATGCAACTAAAAAAATTCGTCAAGTAGGTTGACTCTGCGGTTTCTACACAACGCCATCATCAGGTCATAAGTGACTAAGTTCAGCATAAGTTAGGCGTTCTGAGGAAATAATTTAGTTACAAATACGTACAACGGAAGAATAGAAACGATCAAATCAGTATAACAGGCCCATACAATCAATTAGTTCATAGACATCCTTTTCTACCGGTAGTCACCATCTATCTGTCCCAGATAGCAGAAGGAGACTCCTAGCGAAAATATTTATAATATAAAGTTTCAACATCACATGTATGGAGAAACCTATGACGTACGAAATATGGCTAATGGGTGCGTAGAATTACAGAGGCTGGAGCGTATATATACAGAGTGACTTCGAAGTTGAGTCATTTATTTTAACAGTGAGTAGATCTGATCAAAAGAAATGTTTTTTCCCTTTACCATTTTTCTGGTAAAATTAAAGTAACAAAGTTATAGCCCTTTGGAAGTTTGAGTACCGCCCTGTCTCCATAATAATATCATGTGCTCGTGTTTGGCAACAACGGATATAATCCGCCTTATCGATTCATCGCATCGGAAACAAAAAAGCGAAAGAATTTGGAACGATGTTTTTACAATTATTTCATTCAGTTGTATACAGTCAGTGTCAGTCGGTAGTGGATAGTGGTGTTTGTCGCGTGGCTCAAACGAAATAAAAAATGGCACATGTTTATGCGGATCGGTTTCCCAATCGAGTGCAACCAACCCCTCGTGCCTTTGTTAATGTAGTACAACGGGTTCGTGAATCATTTGACTTAAGACCTCACATATGGACGGCATGCCGGTGCTCCAAGACCTCACGATCAAATACAGGTCCGCACTGAAATACTTTATAAAACAAGGTAAATTTTTTTTTTATTTTTACACACATATTTTGGTTTATCTTCCTTCTACAATCATCATCTGAAAATTAATGACTCAACTTCAAAGTCACCCTGTATATGTCAGTGTCAAACGCTGAAATCCATCATTCCTTGAAAGGCCTAGTCAGTCCTCGTATTGCCGGCAAACACCGTAACAGTCTGACTATTACAACGTTTGACTAAGCATTTCAGTCATTCCCTGTAATGACTGAACAATTTCAGTCAAACACCGTAACAACCACATTAACTTCGTTACTGCATTCGCCTGTTTTAGTCAAACGCTGTAATCAATACAGTGTTGCTCCAATGAAGTACATAATATAACAAGGCACTACTTTATCAATAATATTAACAGAAAAATAATCAAGCATGAATTAATCTAAAAGGAAGGAAGGATAGATTAAAACATTCTCTTTATTATAACATTATTGTTTTTTGTTTATATACGAAATCCGGCGACAATGGATGCTGCTGTTGAGCAAGCATATGCACGTTATAATTTGGTTAGGTTCACAAAATTATAAACAGGAACCTCTTTAACTCATTAGTATTCCATGGTTTTTTCTTATATACACTGTTATGGTTTTTTGTAAAACAATTCTGAGTGCTGCGACACCTTTACAAACACAGACGATGTGTATACTCAAGCAAATGAACACAAAACTGGTACAATGAATGACTGAATCAGGCAAATGGAGTAACGAAGTTAATGAGGTTGCTACGGTGTTTGAAGTAGTTCAGTCATTACAGGGAATAACTGAAATGCTTGATCAAACGTTACGGTATTTGCCGGCAATACGGGGACTGACTAGGCATTTCATTGAACGACGGATTTCAGCGTTTGACGCCGACATATGCAGGGTGTTTCAGTTTATTGTTGCATAACTTTAACATTCGATAGAACTTTTAAAATTAATGCATAAAGTCTATATAAACATGGGTCGAAAAATGCGTGGCTTCAGAAATACAGGGTGTTTAAATTTACTTTCTAAAATAGTTTTTTTCAAATATTTCGAACAATATTTGATGTATAACAGTGAATATTGGTATGCAAGAGTTTTTGGTACGACAAAACGAACCATGGGCATAGTTTTACTGTAGCCGCTAGAGGGCGCTCTCTACTGTACCTGTAGTGTATTAAAATGACCGAACATCTTTTCTTAGTGCAATTTTTTGCTTTTTGAATAAAAAAACTGATTCTTCGTACTTTTCAATATAAAAAAGCTCTCTTGTGAATTTTCGTTGTAGTTAGCCGTTTTTGAGATATTTCGATTTTTAAGGTTCGATGCATTTTTAATTATTTATGATAAAATAACGTTAAAAAGTCAGTATTTCGATAATTTTTAGAAGTAGGCTGTGCCTACAAATATTTTTGAAATTGAAAGCAGAATAAGGTTAAATTTAGTTGATAGTTAGTTTTGTTGTCTGTTGAAACCTGAAACGTTTTTTTGCAATTGTGAATGCACGAAATTTAGTTTCTTTTACCTGTTTTTTTTTTGTAAGTTTTATAAAAATGCCATTTTTATTCTCCAATCAAGAGTTAGCGGATATTCATTTTGTGTATGGCTTTGTAAATGGAAACGCATCAGAAGCAGCCAGAGAATACGCACGAAGATTTCCAAACAGACGACATTCAACTCGCTCATGTTCACCGTGTTCTTAGAAATGACCATAGACGTCCTTACCATTTGCAACCTGTGCAAGGACTACAGCTAGGGGACGGAGAACGAAGAATCACCTTTTGTCAGTGGATTCTTGATAGAACTGATAATAATAGGGGGTTTTTAAGTAACGTTTTATGGACCGATGAGTCATGCTTCACTAGACGTGGAGTGGTAAATTTTCATAATCAACATATTTGGTCGCATGAAAATCCGCATGCATTTCGGGAAAGAAATTTTCAGCATGAATTTAGTGTGAACGTGTGGATTGGTATCTACCGTAATCGATTATTTGGACCCTACCTTTTGCCTGCAAGGTTAAGTGCTGCGACCTTCTTGGAATTTTTAAAGGCTGAACATGCAAATATGTGGGATGGTGTTATGTTAGAAACTGGCTGGACGAAAATAATCCAGAAAGATGGATCGGCCGTGGAGGACCAGTCGCCTGGCCTCCACGATCCCCTGACCTAAATCCATTAGATTTCTTTGTGTGGGGATTTCTAAAAGAAAAGGGGTACTAGACTCCCGTAACCACAAGAGATATGCTAATAGACAGAATCAGGAATGCATGTGATGAAATAAGGCCTTATTTGAATAATGCTATACCACGTTCGATCATTTGTAGATGTGAATTGTGTATTGAACAATTGGGTTTACATTTCGAGCAACTACTTTAGATTTTGTATGTTTGTCCTAACTATCCAATAGCAGTTTAGTTGTAAATAATTAATTTAATTTGTTAAAAATAATATTGGAAAATTAAACAAATTAATATTCTGTTTTTTGTGTTTATTTGGAGTTAGGAATTGTTGCTGTGTTTAAAAACACAATCTAAACGATCATCTTGATTACTTGTAATACCCAAATCGAAAATGTAAAAAAAAATATTATTTTCCCATAAATAATTAAAAATGCATCGAACCTTAGAAATCGAAATATCTCAAAAACGGCTAACTATAACGAAAACTCACAGGAGAGCTTTTTTATGTTGAAAAGTGCGAAGAATAAGTTTTTTTATTCAAAAAGCAAAAAATTGTATTAAGAAAAAATTTTCGGTCATTTTAATACACTACAGGTACAATAGAGAGCGCCCTCTAGCGGCTACAGTAAAACTATGCCCATGGTTCGTTATGTCGTACCAAAAAACTCTAGTATACCAATTTTCACTGTTATGCATCAAATATTGTTCGAAATATTTAAAAAAAAAACTATTTTAGAAAGTAAATTTAAACACCCTGTATTTCGGAAGCCACGCATTTTTCGACCCATGTTTATATAGACTTTATGCATTAATTTTAAAAGTTCTATCGAATCTTAAAGTTATGCAACAATAAACTGAAACACCCTGTATACGTATACTAACATCAAAAAAATGAGATATACTCTCTCCCATCCACCAAGCACCTCTATATGTTTTACCCCTAAAATTTTTACCAAAAATCAGGACCCTCTGACACGTCAAAATACGAAATTCGATCGATTTTCAATTTTTTCGTTCGCCGCCACTGGACCGAATCCCAAAAAACTTTTTCTTCCTAGGCACAGTAGTAAACTTGTATAACAGTTTCATCCCAACCCGAGCAGCACTTCCCAATTTATAGACGGGATTAGCTGCCAGACAGATAGACAGACCGACGACCGACGTACGTGTCATGTAACATCCTAAAACATATTATCTCATTTTAGAAATTTTTCGCGTCCAGTGGCGTCGGAGGTAATAAAGGTACGAATAAATGAATAAGTGAAAGTTAGAATATAACTAGTTATCCTTATAACATTTCAATATAAAGATAAATGTTTTTTTTGTGTTTTATTCTATTGATGCATGGCTCTGAACGATTTAGTAACAAACTTATCATCTCCTCGTTGGTGCTCTTTCGGGAACATTTTCTTGGGTGGCATAACTTATAATTCCGATAATCAGTATTTACTACTCACTTGTAAGTCACCAAATATTTGCAGCTGGTAACTTTTTAACAATGATCCTGAGAAGTTAAGGAATCGTTAAAGATGAAAAACTAACGGGAGCGAGTGCAAGGAAGCACATTTTATTACTTTCTTTCTTCAAAATCGCGCGGATATTTCACTTTTTATTTTAAACCGAAAGTACCCACATACATTGGTGCAGCAAGTCTTTACACAATATAAAAGTGAGAGTTACATCCTTTTTGAAACTAATGATGAACGATTCTGAATTTAGATATATTACATTGATGAAATTC